TCTCTCTGTTTTCTTGCCCCTTAAACTCTCTGTGCTCCCAGACACATCAGCAGTGACTTTAATTGCACTTCAGTTCAACGTAAAGATTTGACAACATATGCGCCTATGTCATTGATTTACTTAATCTTTTTTTTTTTTAAAGAGGGCTTAAAAATACTACAAACAGAACAGTGTAGAAAGGATTCTTGGAGTGCTGAGCTCCGTTGGGTGTTAAATGATTAAATCTGTCCAGTGAGCTGGTCCAAAACAAGTGAGAACTGAAGCAAGAGGGCAGAATCTCCCTGTCTCTCTTTCTCTCATCCCTTTTTTTTCATCTTAGACTCATCACAGAAGAACAAAGCCTCCATGTATGTCCCCCGCCGAGGCACACACTGCTAATGCACCATTATGAGGCACTCGTCTCACCCCACTCACGTCCTTTTCCTGGGCTTTCAGGACTTCGCTGTAGCTCTGAGGACACTTTTCTTCCCGTCTTTCCCTGCACATTGCACCCCGACCCTTGTCTCTTTTTTTTCTTCTGCTAATGTGTTCTCTCACGTTTTGCCCCCCTGCCTCTCACCTCTGCTTCTTCCTGAAGTTTTTGATGTGACCGTACAGGCTGCCGTTTCAATCACAGGAGAGGTTTTACAAATAAGTTAAATGAGTTAAAATTGCACACAGCCTGAAGGTAAGCAGCATGGTCGATGTTTCCAGGCGTGCTCTGACTTTATAAGTGTTCGAGGATGTTTTAAGCAGTGCTGAGGCAGTGCGACCATGCTAATGTTAACGACCTTCAGTCACTGTTACACATATAAATGCTGCATGATGGATGGACACGAAATGGCTTAGTGATTTGAGAAACGGTGTTGTTAAATGTAAATTAGTCTGTTAGCTTAACCCTCAGTTGTGCATTCCCATACAGAAATATAGTGCTCCGGCAAACTTCCAGTGATAAATTTGTTCATTTTTCAAATGCAAATGAGCTTTGTCGTATATTGTTGCAACATAATATAACAAGTAAAACAGAATATTCAATGAGGGGGGAAATGTAGGACAGTGTTTTATCCATTTGGAAATTACTGGATTGTGAAAAGTGGTCTCTTTATTATATTTCTATTTTTATGTTCATATAAATATATTTAAAAAATTAGATTTTACCCTATATTTAATTACCTGTAGTAAATTTTGTTGCAAAGTGACGCTGAGCTTTAAAAGATGATACATAAATTAAATAGTCACATTTTATTAGTTTTATTTCATTTCTAGCAGAACAAATAATATATGTATATATTGCATTTATATTTTAATGTCTTAAAATGATCAAAAGTCACAGTAAAGACATTCACATTATTACAAAAAATATTTAAAATAAATCAAATAAAAGAATAATGTGACTGAAGATGAGTAATAGCTGCTGAAATTTCAATATAAGTATAGTAAAATAGAAAAATTATTTTCAGTTGTAATAATATTTCATAATATTAGAGGTATGATCTTTACATGGACATTTTTTATTTATTTGTGATTCATATCTTGCAATTCAATAAGAAGTGGGTCTTGTAAATAAGCGTAATCTGAGCAAAAGTGACGGGAACTGCAACAGACAATGCAGAGTCGCTCTCTTGTTTTGCTGCGGTTTCAATTGTGACCGTTAGCAAAGAGCTTGATTGACAGGCGATCTGACCAATCAGAACGCAGATATTATGTGCTGCCGCTGCTATCCGCCATCTTGCCCGACAGCTATGGCCGGTCTCCATAGAAATCCATGTTAAAATGGGGTAAAAAAAGATAGACTGAATTTAAACTTTTTCAATATAACTAAAATTTCGGAACTTCGCCCTGATCGGGAGCTGTATATGCACATGTGCGCTCATCTGTTTTCAGTGCCGCTAACCTCTAGTCACTTCATTTTCCCACTCATCAAACCATGACAGGTCCTTTACTGCAAAAAGACGGTCACTTGCCCGACAGCTATGGCCGGTCTCCATAGAAATCCATGTTAAAATGGGGTAAAAAAAGATAGACTGAATTTAAACTTTTTCAATATAACTAAAATTTCGGAACTTCGCCCTGATCGGGAGCTGTATATGCACATGTGCGCTCATCTGTTTTCAGTGCCGCTAACCTCTAGTCACTTCATTTTCCCACTCATCAAACCATGACAGGTCCTTTACTGCAAAAAGACGGTCACTGCGACACTGTAAAGTGATGAAACTATGGCGCCATGTGCTTTTTTTAAACCATTTTCATAGGTTTCACGTTATATTGTTTGCTCGGAAAATATGCAAATACGCATTCCAAATAGCTGCAGCTGTATCCCTTCTAGCCTTAACCACAAATCAGACAGGAGAGTATATTAACTTCGGTGGATTTAAACTTGAAAAATGGTGTGTTCCGCGGTTGAAATAAAATACTTTCTGATGTTTATTCATGTTAATTTCGTGCTTTACGTAAATATGAAAAGACAATCGGTTCACGTGTTTGAACTGAAGCAATACAGTGATCTGTCACGACACGTTAAAGAGCCACAAAATTGTATTTATTGTTTGAATTTCTTTAAAAATGACAAAATTTGAAAGCTGAGAGTCCTGAGATCTTGTTTCATATCAGAAGTAACCTGCTCTGTCGGCACGTTGTCAGTTTCCTCTTTGCTCTGCAATGTATTTTTCACTGCATGAGAACATGAAGTGTAGTATGAGAGCGGCATTGTTTGTCGGGGATTGCAACAGTAACTAAGGAGGTCGGGTCTTTGCGAACGGTCAATTGACGTTTCTTTTTTCATTATGATATAATGATGCATCACAACATATTAAATTGAATCATAACATATCATTATGGGTATAGATATCCCTGACATCCTTGTTTTCATTTGCGTCAAATTAAACAAGTAATCTACTCTGACTAAGGTTCATAGAGGCTGCTTCCTCTCAGGTTACTTGACAACTCGCTGCTTGATAAATCGAGTTCTCCATGTTACATTAGTGCAGAGCCATTTCTCACCTCCCAGGGCATTAAAAACGGCCCTCACCCTCAGGCTAAAGTGCTCCCTCACCAAACTGAGCTTCAGCGCCCACTTTTAACCTGCCAAGTGTGTGAGATACACACAGCCTCCGTGTCTCTCACAGCGTTCTTTATCTCTCCCGTGGTGGGAAAGGTACTCCGCAGAAGAGCGTGCTGATAATTTCAACCACCATGACTGAAGGAATTTGTTTCACTGAGTTTCTGTCCTCAAGTTTGCTGCTTCAATCTCAAAGGCATTGTCAGGCGGTTCAGTTAACCGCCTCGTTTATGCTTGAAAGCGAATGAGAGCACATGTAAAAGCGATTAATAATTTACAACATCAGAAAAATCGAGGATGCAACTGTCGAGTTTGCTTTTATCGCCTCCGCACCATTGGTCGGTTGTCGAACATGCTTGCACTTTAGCGACAACAGCATTCACATGGGGAAGGCACTCATGATGCTTTTTGATTTGCCGTGTGGCGCCCGTCAATTTATCAGTGCCGGGTGTGATTCCGTATTCACGAGGAGATTGCTTTGGATATTCCAATAACAGCGAAGGAAATGTCAGCCGCTTCTTCCTTGTCTTCTCTGCAGGCATCACTTTGTACCCTTATCGCAGATTGATGGGCAAACAGCCTCTCCTCTCAGTGTTGTCAATCAGAAGAAACATTACAGATTCGTCACCGCAGTCACGCAGCTGGACTCCGTGTCTGCACACAAATGTCAGTAGTCAGTCTTCTGTGTTTTATCAAAGTCATAGTGTGGCCCTCAAGGGACCAAGATGGCAGGGTGTCTGTGTCCCCTAGAGGAACCTCTTGGCATGGCAAAATTGTTGCCATATCAAAATATGCTGTACTATAGGGCCCTATGAAATCAGTTTTATTTTTCCTAAATTTTGTTTTTCTGGAGTCCATTTTAATGGTTAAATTAAAGTTTATTAATCAAAAGCATGTCTAATTAATTAAAATCATGAAACTCATACAATTTAACATCAGTTTATTAAAAGTCTTACAAAAACAACATGTTTAGGGCCCTATGAAATGTTTTATTTTTTTCTAACCTTCTGTTTTATTTTGATCAAATTCTGTTTTAGCATGTCTAATTATTTGAATGCATAAAAACAATTAAATTTATTACAATTAATTTTTACAATACCCCCCCCCCCAATTCTGTGTTGTGTATTTAAAACATTAGTTTCATTTTCTTTTAATTAATGAAAATTAAACTAACTTTATTTTTTGGTAAACAAAAGGGGATTTACTATTAAAATTAAAACATGGAAGAAATATTGTGTGATTCCTTAAAAAATAACGTTTTAATAATTATAGCAGTAATAGTAGTATTCTACTGAACTATAGTAATATATTTCTGGCACAATGTCTTCAAGTTAAAACCAAGCTTTTATTTTGACGGGTTGCCATAAAGAACTTTACATTTCTGTGTGTATATGAAATGACGCTAGTTTTTCTCAAATGAAACCATAAATTGTGCAATTCTGGAGATCTTGTTCATGTGTTTATTTCCTCATTTCACTTCAGTACGTGTGTAGTAAAAGAAACCGCGCATCTGTGCCATTCATTCACACACAGACACGCATATTTTTGTTGCTTAATATTCACTGACACTAGTCCATTTTGCGTTTTGATTTAAGTGTAATAACCTACTGTTGATTAATTAATCTAAACTTTGACAAATTCCGTGACATTCCGTGTTATACATTAAATTCTGTTTTTATGACTGGATTGCACAATTCTGTCATAGGGCCCTACTATTCTGCTGATTCTCTTGAACTTTTTCCAGTGGGCCTCTGCAGACTTTGAGGCAGAGGCAAACTTTGAGAGAGTTTGAGGCAGAAGCACGTCATGCTTTTTTGTTTATGTCTACATGCGATGGAAAGCTATATTTCAGTCAGTATTTGTGTTGCATAATGAATGTTGTTTTTCCCGAACAACAGCTTTCGCTCTGAATCGATGTTCCAGAATGCATCAGTATCTCATAATCTGTTGCTTCTCTCTGCAGTTGTGTGGCTGTGGGCTGCTGGGAGTTGGAATCTGGTTGTCTGTGTCTCAAGGCAGCTTCGCCACCTTCTCCCCCTCCTTCCCTTCTCTCTCCGCTGCCAACATGGTCATCGCCATAGGCGCCATCGTCATGGTGACGGGCTTCCTCGGCTGCCTGGGCGCCATCAAGGAAAACAAGTGCCTGCTTCTGAGCGTAAGTTATACCACACCTACACACTTTACACTCCTGAGTTGTAAAAACACAGTAACGGTCTGCTGTGAGAAGAAAATGTTTGCACTTACCTTTTAACCTTGTGATGTCTGTTTTTTTATGTTTTTGTGAGTAATTTTCATATGTCATATTATATATACATATTATATAAAGTGTGTAATGCATTAAAAATGGATGTAAGCACATTAAATATCTCTAAATTTAATTATACTATTTAAAGGTGAATCTATGTACATGTATTTATTACTTCATGTATTTATAAAAAAAAAGATATGAGAAATTAAATATGAAAAATATATGGTACTATTTACACAACTCTCTGGAATACTTGATTCTGATTGGTCAATCGCAGCACTGAACACATTATGCACCTGCTTTTTTATTAAATGTATAATCGACTGTTTTCCCAGTCAATGTGCTAGTTTCATGGCTCTGTGTTGGTCTGCAGTCTCTTTCTTCTCACATAAAACAATAATTTCAACCAAATTAACTTTTAATGTCATTTCATTTATTTATTTAGTGAGTAGCTGTGTAAAAAGTGGGATAATGTACAGCTGGCCAGTCATTATCCCAAAATAAGCGCTTTCAGGATGTGAAGTGGCCTTATGAATACCTTTTTTAATGCATTTTACATTCGGGCTTAAAGTAAACTGTTACCAGAGATGTTTGCTAATTATCTGCATTGCAAATTGTGTCTCTTCGTTGCACTCAGGGGTTTTGGTTTGGAACTAGAGTTAAACCACATGCCTCTGTAATTCCCTCCCTTTGACTGCCAGTCTCTCTTTGATTTTACACTCATTTTCACTTTCTCATTCATTCGGCTAATAGTGTTAAACACAGTCTAATTGAAAAAGGTCATTTATAGACGTGAATAATGCATCTGACACGACATATTGTTTTGTTCTGGTAAACGAGTATTAAATAGTGCACTATCTGCTTGTGGACTTGGTATGTGATTCCAAACAAGCATATTTTAGTTTATTTACTGTAATTCACAAAAAAAAAAAAAAAAAAAAAAAAGTTAAACGTGTTAAAAAAAAACATGTTAGATTCAATTCAAGTGAAGGAAGAGATGTTTGGAGAATTCACAAATCCAATCAAACCCAGAATCATCATCACCATCCCTCCTTATTAATTTTTAATGTCAATCTCCAGTTCCTACGGTTCCCTTAATGCCTATTAGATAGGAGCTGTGTAAATTCGAATGGCCTGAACTTTAGATTTCGCTATCTGTGCTGTATAGAAGCCGAGTGTCCGAGACATCAGAGAAGGGTTTTCACGTCACTGGGTTTGAGATCTAAGCAGCCAGCCCTATGTTTCTGGATGTGGTGTAGCGCTCTCTTCCCCCAGAGGTCTAGGAAGGAAGAACCTTCAAAGCTTTTGCAGTCTTCACATCCATTCCTTCAACTTTGCTCTATTTACGTACCCCATATGGTCCAGACCAGCGAGTAGAGTCAAGGCAGACCAGACATGTACACATATTGTCATTCAGCGGTTGGCGCACATAGTCAACACAATCGCCTTCCTCTAATGGCGGAAGGGAACTTATTTTGCGGACCTGTCAATGTCGAGGTTCAATAAACAAGTGTCTTAAAGGCTTTCAGATGGCTCGAATCTGCTTTTCAGATGGACTTTGACAGAAACGGTCATCAGGAGATGACTGGAAAATGCACTGAGCACTCAGCAAAATAATGTTTACTGGCTGACAGGCGCATGCTGTGTGGAAGGCTGTGTAAATATTTAGCTGAAGAAGTGAAATAGAATGAGAGGGAGAAAGTGAGTGTAGAAAGCTGAGATGATTCATTCAGACAGGTCTTTCCCTGTGTCTTTCTCACTCTCAATCGTATCACTCACTTCCTTTTTTTTGTATATTTTCTTCTTGCAGTTCTTCATTGTCTTGCTGATTATTCTGCTGGCTGAGCTGATTTTGCTCATTCTTTTCTTCGTCTACTCTGATAAGGTAAGCCTGTTCACCAGTTTTATACTGTGCAAATGATTTTACTGTATTTCCATACAAATCCCACTATCTAATCTCTAATTAATGGCAGATTGTTCGGCTTTGATTTTGCCTGGCAGATGGGAAAATCCCATCAAATCGCACCTTATCCTAACCAGGCATGACGTAAATCAACAAACGATTGAAATCTGTTAGCAAATAAGTTGCAGAAGATTTTGGATTGTGCTGTATAGCCACGCCCACATGAAATCTCATTAGTCCAGAATCCTCATAGCTGTGTATTTAAACATCAATTATTGATTCGGTAATGTATTTCCATTGTAGTTTATTTCCGTGTATTCTTACATAACAAAAAAGATCCACCTTGAGCAAACATATAAATTTTTTATGCACATTTAGTTGTTTCTGTCAACCATTTTTTGTAATATCCCCTTAAAATTGACATAAAACTATTTCGATGGAAATGCTCATCCCATTTCCCAAGCTTAATCAGGTCATCGAGTTCTTTAAAGAACAGCCGCCTCTCTTGTCTTGAGCAGCGCAGGTTAAGAGTTCATCACCAAAGGTCAGAGGTCACCCCACACAACAAGGCCTAATTCCGGCCAGTTGTCACCAAGTAATTGGCACTGAGCTCTTTCTCGGTCAATCCTTCCACCTGCCTCAACGTTCAGGCTCTTTCTCATGGCCTTCGGGGCAGCGCGCACACACACAACTGGAAGCGATACTGTGCCAACTGGAATGTCTAAAACAGGGCAGTCTGACCTTTGGACACCATGCAGATCCTGGTGGATTACTACCCACCCTGAGCATGCAGAGGTCCTGCTTCCTCTTTGATGAAGTCATGAGTGTCACCAAACAGATGCTTCAGAGTGTGCACTGCACAGTCTCCTTTTCAAGGGCAAATGTACGGCTGGATGCTAGGAGGTGTTAAATCCCGTCAAGGATTTCTGGGTGGTTCATTATTCACTCCGTTTGCCACGCTCTCTGTGGAAGCTAAAGTAATTCACTTACCCACAATCCATTTAGAGATTAGGATCTGCCTATCTCCAAGGTACGAGAACTGCCTTGTTGTCTTATCGGAGCGTGTAACTCACACTCAAGCGTGGACTGCAAACTGAGGCTGCATTTTGGTGGCCACATTTTTTCAAGCGTAAGACTCGCTTGCTTTTGACTGTATAAGTTTGTTTCTGCAGACACAAACTTTTTTCCATTGTGTGCTATATTGTGTTTAGACTCAAGGTTGTATCTTTATATAATGAAAGTTAGGCTGAAAGCTGTGTACCTATCGTGTATTAGTCTTTAAAGACCACTCTGAGACCCCCAGCCATGTATTGATGTTGTTCGTACTACCGATATAAGATACCTATGTGACCTTTAACACAACGTGATGAGGGAGATACTTCAGAGAGAAGTGAGGGAAGATGAGATATAGAGATTTGTATCAACCACACAAGGCTGTGAGCTAGTCTCTTTCATTTCTCTACCGCATGAACTGGGCGGCAGGGGTACAGCCATCACTCAAAACCTGCCGCTCCGTCCGCACAGAATGGCGTGCGCCATCAGAGGAATGTTTAATTGACTCCATTATTTGATCTCCAAATCAGAAGGCATTCATTATCACATCTGAGGAAAAAAAGTCACACTGGCAGTGTATGAAAGCACACATTTTCTGTACAAACAACAAAGTTAAAGCCAAGCATTTTGCTCAGATAGTAATGGGCAGGATATTATAGAGCCAGAAAAATTTTGAATTAGAATTTTGTAAAATTTTTGATGTGAAATTTAATAATTAAAAATTTTTGAATGCTGAATTTTGAATTTACTATGTCTGACATCTTGAGGCTGTAATTTTATAAGTGAGGATGCATTAAATTGACCACAAATGACAGCAAGACTTTTACATTCTTACAAGAAATTTTATTTTAAATAAATATTCATCAAAAAATCCTGAAAAAAGTAACACTGTTTCCACTCAAATTTTAATCAGCACAAGCATTTTAAACTGTGATGATGATAAGAAATGTTTCTTGAGCACAAAATCAGCATATTAGAATGATTTCTGGGTCATGTGACACTGAAGATTGGAGTAATACTTGCATGTATAAATTAATACTTTTCTATTTAATATCAATATGCCTCAAAAAAACGAATTTGTTAAATGTCAAATGTACAAAATTCAAATCTATTTGTCATTGTTATAGTTTCATAATGTGAGATCTGTAGTTTCAGTTTGAATGTTTTGTGCCTTCCTCGATCTTTAACTCAGCAAGATGCTTCCCTCCTGCAGATAAGTTGGCGAAACAGAGGTATAGTGGGTCTCCACCTCACTGAGCGTACGTGAACGCTGTGGATTAAAGCACACACGTGGGGCCTGCAGTGACCCACCATCTGACTGCAGCAGGTGGCGAAGGCTAGGCACCAGATTAGAGCATCCGTCTTTACGCTCATGACCTCATTCCTGCGCGTGTGCCGCAGGACGGCGGCCAAATGAAGCCATATTAGCTGGTTTGAAAAGGGGGAAGCACAGTAGCGTGATTTTTCGGATAGCCTTACAGAGACAGATGAAGAGCATTACAGCGCACTTTCACCTCCTCAGCTGTGGCTACGGTTTAATCCGTAGATGACTCACAGTTTTTAGCCTCTAATGTGCCATTACATGGGCAAAAGTGACACAATTAGGGATGCTCTGAAAATGAGTAGCGACCCACGTGTGCAGGGAATGGATTGAGAGTGTCTTTGATACGAGGTAAAACTCCAAGTCCATTTTAAAGGTCCCCAAACTCATATCATAATTTAGTTGAACAAAACACTGGTCTTCATTGTATTTCCTGTTATTTTCAATTTACTAGGTGATTCTGGGAGAGTAAGTCTTGTGATCTCATGTGGCAGCATTATCGCGGTTGCTTGTTTGCTTGCTGATTTTAGCTCAGAATTAAACCAATTTACTCGCACTAAACAAATCAACAACGAATGTGCCAGTGTTAAAATGATTTACGTCAGGCTTGACTATATAAACAGTCATTTTACACTTCATGAGTTTAAAGCAGCAAAAGTGTCTTGTAAACCACCTGAACAGGTGAGGCGGTCAGCCAGGGTTTTGAGGAGTTCGGGCCAGGTTTCAAAGAAACTGACGGCGTGACAGTAGGACCCACGCTGTGTGTATCTTGCCAGCTCACAGCATGGCCAGACTTTCCCTTGCTGATCAAGAGTCTGGCCCATCATCTGGGCTGGAAATTACCATCCCATGACAGGCACTTATGTCGGGCAGCTCTTACGTGCGCTAATGGAACATTATTTCCAATGTGGAAATGGTTGTTAAAGAGATAGTTCATCCTAAAATGAAAATTCAGCCACTAGCTGTGTTTCCATTACCCTTCAAATTTCGCAAATTGAAATCGCGAATTGAAAATTCGCCCAATGGAAACGCATCAATTTTGTAAAAACTAATATATCGCAAAAATGTTTTTACGCTTGCATGAGATGGTTTTTCAGGCAATTCGAAAAAGGAATATTTTGCAAAACTGCAATGTGAACTTTTTTGCATTTACAAGTCATTCTTTAATGTTTTATGACCTCCAAGAAACACCTCATACATGGCTGCTCTCAAGCATAAAGGGTTTTCCTTGCCATTATTGCTTGGATAACCCCTTATTTACACTGCACATGTCTGCGGCACATTACGTCTCCAGTGTGGCCACCGGAGCTGATCGCTGCCACTCTAGTCAATGCTTGCGTTTATACCAGCCGTGCTGCTTTCAGAAGCGGCTCTCTGCACTCCTTCTCATACATGCCTACATCTCCTTCAATTAAAAATAATGGCTAGTGTGAGGGCTGCGATACAAGTAAACCTACCAACATCTGTCTTCATGACTTATCGCGAGAGGAAAAAATTAAATTTTAGTCGCATAACATGGGTGAATGGAAACGTCATCTTTTTGCAATCGTTTGCAAAACATTTATAAAATATCTCAAAAGATTTGCGTGAATCTGTAATGGAAACGCACATACTAACTCAGCCTCATGTTGTTACAAACCCATGTTTTCATGTAAAATTCATATAAATGAGCGTGCAAAAGCATATGAAAATAGCACAAGTTGTCTATATGCACACTTTGTCAAATCTTCTGAAGTCAATTTAAGCTATTAGCTGATAATATTCCCACCATATGGCTGTTAACTGTTACTACAAGAAAACTTGAGTTTGATTAAAAAACAAATCAGTCAGATCTGTTTTGTGTACTGGATTGACTGATTCATTGAAATGATCCAACTCACTATTCTCATGAACTTATGAATTCCTATTAGGAAGGCTAAGCAATGAAAAACAGCTTAATTTTGGTTTGTTCATCACATCAAGATTTTGTATAACTTCAGAAGACTTGCAATATATTGTCATAGGGGACCAGTTTTTTTTTTTTTTTTGACATTTTGAAGCTTGACAGCCCTTGTACACTTTTAAATAGAATTGAAAATGAGAGCTAACCAATGAATAATAACTTAATTGTGGTCTGTTCTGTGAAGTTGAAAAGAGTGGCCAGATTTGACCTTTTGAGTTTCATTGAAAAACCATGTAGTTGAGAAACGACTTGAGCAAATAAACAAAACCTTTTCCTTTTTAAATTGAATTATCCCTTTTAAGTTAGGATTTAAGGGTGTGTGTTTTTTGTTGGCATAGTGGAGGTGATGGACGAATCTTCTGTCTGACCTCATCTTCCTCTACTCTCTTTAGTAAACAGCAGGCTTTCCTCAACACACACATTGTGCTGACACATCTCCACAAACCCAAGCCTCCAGGGCAGCAATATGACAAACCTGTCCACACTCTGGAGACTCAAACACACACAAGACTTGAAGAAAAGCACAGTTTCCTCTCTACATCACCATTCACTCTCGTTTCCGCTCCCAGTTCACCCCAAGAATTGTTGGTATAGATAATGATGTCATCTATTAGCTACATCTAACATCTGATCCTAAGGTCAAACTTTCCAAATTCCCAAACAAAC